ATATATAAATCTTATGATTCTTATTCTTGAAATCTGGTGGGCAGCTGAACTTTAAGGTGAAAAGGTGGGCAGCAAAAACTTGAAAGTTATGAAAATGGTTTTAGATAGGCTGTCATCAATTCTTTTAATATCTATAAAAATATTGACAAATATCAGGGTTGGCAAAAACCCGGGTTTTTGCCAACCCAGATATTTGTAATGATGGGTTTTATTGGGTAAATATGGGTTTTTTTGGGATATATTTTTATTTTGTGTATATTTTGTGTGTGTGTGTGTTTAATGATATTAAAAATTAGTATAATTTTCAACTTTATTTAAAATATATTTTAAATAATGCTATTTAATTATTTGCAACTCTTCAAATAATTAAAAAAAAATTTTTTTTAGATAATTCAAAACTGTAATAGAAAATTGTTTTTGTGTTATACCTATATGTATTGATTTGTTTTCGATTTAAAAGTAATATTTTTTATAATTAAAAATGTCAATGAGAAATGGGATAAAGAAGGCTGGAGAATAGGAGGAAGTAACTAAGGTTTAAATTAAACTTCAAATTTGAACTTGAAATTCAAATAAACAAACTTATTTGTCCTCGCAGCGGCCTTGTTAATAAAGGTTCAGGTTTCAGAGTTAATAAGTTAAAAGAGGATTGTAACCACAATAAGATAGCCTCCTTGAGGTGTATATTAAAGGTTTAGGTTTCAGAGTTGATAAGTTAAAAGAGGATTGGTAACCACAATAAGATAGCCTCCTTGAGGTGTATATTAAAATATAAAAAAGTGATAATCTCAATCTGTAAAAATATTTGAATAAAAATTTTGATAATGTATTTCCAAAAAATTATATTTTTTTAAAATTATTTTTTTAATTAAATTAGCTTTCATTACAAAATAAATCTTTATAGACATAAAGAAAAAATAATAATTAAAAATAGGATTAAATAATAATAAAAATATATATTTTTTTTCATAAGTAAAAACCTAGTCATTAAAAATAAAGACAGGAAATGACTTTACAATCCTGATTTTGTTATCCTTTATTATCCTGATTTTGTACCTTGGTTAATTTTGCTCAAATCAAAGGATTGATGCGTTTTACACTAGGATGTTAAGCAATCAAATTGTATCAACAATATTGTACAGTGATTGGTTATCTATCATTAACCGAAAAAACAAAAAATCAATTCATAAAAATTACCTGCATGATTTTGCAAATTTATTCCTAGATCAATTAAAAGAATATTTTCCTAGTTTGGTTTTATCTGGTCAAAAGTTAGGAATAAATATGTGAGAAGTAAAACGGCAAAAAAGCTAAATCAATGTGTATTTATTCTAAAAAATCTTATTGAATGAATCTTTTCATTTATTTGGTTTCCGAAAATATCATTGTGAAATAATTTTTATTAAAAATATTGTGTTTGAATAGAAACTTTATCTTTACAGCTAGCTACTATAAAATGTTTTCATAAATCTTGTTTATAATAGTTCATTAAATTATAAAACATTTTTAAAAAGCCCAATAAAACCCAGATTGCCTGGGTTTTATTGGGTGGGTTGTTTAATGGCAACCCTGACAAATAATGACATTCAAAATTTTCTACATTTTCGGATTTAATACTGTTTATTATGATCATGTACCAAATTAAAAGATACAGAGGGTAGGTGGAATAAATGTCTTCCACTTTTCATATAATTACTCTACCTTCATAAGTATAAAAAAATACTTCCCTTTTAACAATACATATTTAAATTCTGCAGAAAATTTGCTCAATAATTTTTAAAAATTATTTCTTAATGACCTAATAAAGAAGCTTCTTACCTCAGTGATTTTTTATTGGTTATCATGTTTTCCAGGCTAGTAATGTATTACTTTCATTTCAATTCTAGTGGAACTTTTTAAATGGTTCATTCCAAGCACATATTTTTCTGGCTTGTAAAGTGGACTATTTTAAGTGGTTCATTCCAAACACCACAATGACTTTCAAATTTTGATAAATGTTGTTTATTTTTCTATATATTTCTTTAATTTTTAATATTTTTGGCTCAAAACACCTTATAATTTCTATCCAATCTTCAAAGATCTTAATTTTTAAAATTCTTTCAAAAGTATAATATTAAAATTAAGAAATGAATTTTTATTGGAAAATTATAAAAAAAATTTGATGGCAAAAGGTTTAGTAGAAGTAACATATTTTATTTTATAACAGTACATGTATTTTACATCTGGTGTAATTACCATTTATGTTATAATTACCAATTAATGTGTAATTACCATTTTCATAAATGTGTACAGTTATAAAGTATTAAAAATCCAGGTGTGCAGTTATTAAATATTATTTAATGTGGAGTTTTTAAAATTGCAGTTTTTATGTTTCATCATTTGATGGATTATAGATAATGCCAATCTTGGTTAGATAATTAAATTTTTTTAAAAACTTCTAAAATGATATAGGGCAAAAACTTGCTTATGATATTAAATATAATTTCAATATCATAAACAAGTCAGATAAATCATCAGTCAAAAATGTGCTCTATTATGATCAGATTTAAAAAAAAAAATAGTAATAATAATGAAGCTAAAACCAGATGGAATACGATGAAAGATATAGTATAGCTTGTCGTCAAAAGTCCAAGTTGTTCAATGGTTGCAATAATTTCTAAAAGTTAATTAATCAAGTGTTTCTATATGTTTCATAAGGTTCTTTTAGAAACAATAAAGAATTAAAACTTACATGTTTTTAGTTTTATGTTCTCTAACATATGCATCACAATATACCTGTTATAGAGCTAATTTTGTTGTTTTATCACATTTTTTACTGTATTTTTATTTTTCTTAACTCATTAACACTGAAACACGAGTCTATATAAACAAGGCTATTTTGCAAATAAATAAGTTGAGTGCGGTACTACCAGGGTGGGAATCAAACTTTTTTGCTTATTATGCTAGGGCTCAACCACTACCACACTATATACCGCTATAACAAAACAGCATTTAGTTTGTTGGTTTATGTGGTTGAAACTACTGTATTTACTTGTTAAAGTTTTTTAACATTTTATAAGTTTTGCTAAAAGTTAGTGTTTCTATTTTTAGCCAAGTATAAATTCCGAACAAACGTTGAATTCTGAGACTTCTAAAAATGTTGATGAAGTTACTTCTCCTACGACAAATGTTGGTGATGTAACTTCTTCGGCAGTTGGAGTCAGTTCTCTGGACAGCTCTGAATCAGTAAAGGGCGAACTGCTTGAAAAAGTCACTTATCTCTTAAGGTAAGTTTTATTTGAGTAGTTTTATGAACTTGAAAAAAAAAATTCAATCATTTTATGAACGGTTTATATTATGTAATACTTTTTTTAGTCGTTGTCTCTGCTATTTTCGTGCTCCGGATTTTAAAATACCTAAAAAAGACATTCTTTCTCTTACACCACAGCAACTTCGAGATTTTCCATTAGTAAGTAATAAGAAATTTTGTTTTAAAAAACTTTTGTGTTCTATTTTAAATTCTCGTTAAATGTTTCTTTTGCAGAGCACGTTTTTTGATGATTACGAACGAAACATTAAAAAGGTATTGATTTTAACTAGATTATTTACAAAACATTTTAAAATATATGTTACTGACTTCACTAATATTTTATTATGATCTGCGCTTAAATAAAACTGGTCTTCAAAGTCCCAATCGTGTCTTAATAAAACAACCTTGCGACTTAAATTAAAACATTAAAACAACCTTGCAACTTGAATTATTACATTATTAAAACAACCTTGCAACTTGAATTATTACATTATTAAAACAACCTTGCGACTTGAATTATTACAATATTAAAACAACCTTGCGACTTGATTTAAAACATTATTAAAACAGCCTTGCGATATGATTTAAAACATTAAAACAACCTTGCGACTTAAATTCAACTCGCGGCATTGTTTTAATAAGACACTATTTAAATAAAACTTTAAACTAAAACCTACCCCACCAGTACATAAATTAAAAACTGACCTTATCGGTACATGAATCATAGGATACTTCTAATCCAAAAAATGACACCACCAGTGTCAAAATGACATCATCAGTGCATGAATGATAGAGCTTTTCCTAGGCTTAATCATTGATATAATTAAGAAAGAAATAATTTAATTTTTTTTCTTAATTATATCAATAAATATTTTAATTGTGTCTGTATTTACTTTAGCAACTACAGGCGACACGTGAGAATCTTAACTCCAAAGTTGACGAAGCTGATAAAAAATTAAAAGAAGTTTATATAGAAAAATCACACGTGGAAAAAGAACTTAAAGAATGCAAGCAGCAAGTTACAAAAATTACAAAAACCTTGAAAGAGCTTAGACAAGGCGTCAACGTCATGTTAAGAAGTATATTAAACGAGGTATTATTTTATAAATAGTAGTAAGGTTTTATTTCATAAATATTAACTTGGTATTATTCTATAAATAATAACAAGGTATTGTTTCATTAATAATAACTAAGCATTAATTTATATAGCGATATAAATTAGAGGTATGTTTGGTTTATATGTTATAGGTATGTTTGGTCGATATAAGTATCGAGGTAATATTGATTTCATTTATATTTGTTAATTTTCTAAACTTGGTTTATTAAATTTAGGATGAAAAGCTGGATGCAAACGACGTCTCTGACAATGTCGATATATATTTGAAGACAATAGTTGACCAAATAAACGATACGAATACTTAATGTTAAAATAATTTTGACATCTTAGTATCTTTAGCATACCTATCTCGTTTAAGATAAACTGAATCAAAAGTTGTTTATTTTCGCTATAATTAACGGTTTGAGTTATTGCTATTGCAGTTTTCTTAAGTGACACTCCTGATCAGTGTTATTTTTCGTTGCAGTGATACTTGATATGGCGTTTCTCTAATGAAGTAACTGTCAAAAAGTTTGACTTCTGTGTCGAAAAGTTGTGTGGCTGATAAAAAATACTAATAAAATAGATTTATGAGAAATACTCATTAAGATATAAGTTACCAGACGTTTTCTTTAAAAATGGTCTTTTTTAGTTTTGCTTTTTGTAACAGATGTATGCATTTTACAACGCGTAATGTTCTATAACTTAGCTACATAATTCCTTTTTATGTGTAATTCTTACATGTTATATTCAACATGTAGTTCTCCTACACCGTACATCTATTACATGTATTCTAATAAATGCGATGTTCTATTCCATAGATTACACATAATTCATGCGTAGAACATCGCATGTTCTATCGCATATATTCTATTAATATAGTACATGTATTGATGAAATGTTTTCGTAATTATTTTCAAGTTTTTCAATCAATCAATTTTAATAATAATATCTAAAATCTAAGTTTTGAAAAATGTTGACCAATTTTATTCCCAAAAATCTATAAATCTATTAAAGAAAAGTTTGTATGGTTTATCTTTTTTTCTTGATGTAATAATTCGTCGGCGATATTGGAAATGTAATTGTAAATATTTTTAGCTACATTTCTTATCAAAAGACTTGTTCTTACCAAAATGAGGTTTTATTTTAAAAAAAGTGGTAGCTCATTTGTAATGCCAGATGCTAGCCTATTTCACTGGGGGTTTGTTATAACTGAGTTTTCGTGCATAGTTGCATCTCTTTGCAATTGAATTATCGTCATACATTCGAGCATGTTTTTTATAGCTTATTTACAGAAATAGGAGAGGATGGGGGGGCATGATAGCTTTTTTTTATAACAACTTAACCCAAAAATAAATTATAATTTTTAAATACCAAACGGTTTTTCTAAATATTGTTAACGCAAATTTATACATGGTTTTTTTTTTTTTTTTTATTTCAAAATAAATTTATGATTAGGTTTATTGCCAATTGGTGGTATCCTATGAAGTTAATTTGTGTTTTTGCGACACGTGTTTATGTTGCGATACGTTAAATTGTTATTAGTTTTTATTATGTAGTTGTCCAACTCAACAGCAACTGTCAACATTTGTTTTTGTTTCCTTTTTTCAATCGGGAACAAATTTATATTGAAAATTTTTTATTTACAAACTGCAGCACACATTTTAATAAAGCAATTATACCGACGAAAGATTCATCACTGGCAGAAATTAAAAATTTTCAAATCTTTTTTTGATTTTGTACCGTCTTCCTCTACTTCAAATTATTTTTTGGCTATTTTTAGTGGGTAGTTATGGAAAAGCCTATGTTTTTTGTATTAGATTTTTTATTTTTTGACCATTTTTGAGAATTAAATTTTTTGAATAATTTTCTTGAAACAAATTTTTTAGTTTAGATTTTGATAAAATTTCGAAAAATATCTAACACCTAAATTGATTTCGGTAAATAAAATGCATTTTTCTTAATGAACTTTGAATGATTAAATGACTTTTCAGCAAATTTTACTGAATTTCAAAACCTAAACTTTTACTTGAACAAAAAAAAATTTAAAAATGTGGCCTACTTAGATTATTTTTTTATTTCAGCGCCTGTGGTGTAATTGTTAGAGTTCTGGCTTTAAAACTGAAGGTTCGTGGTTCAATGATCAGGTTAAATGCAATTCCGCGGTGCTCTGTGATAAAACTATAAGATGTTCTTGGAGTACTTAAATAACTAGAAATAAAGATAAATTTCATTGTTAACATTTTTCCTTTCTGTTACCTATAATAAAACATAAAAATCAGGAGATAAATCATATTTGTTGTGTTTTTTTAGAGATTTTGTTGTTATCTGTTGTCTTTAGCTTTTTTTAAAGACTAAGTATTTAATAAACTTATTGATTTATCACACACTAGTAATTAGCTGTACAGGTGGTATAATCAATCCTTCTATCTATATATATTATAGGTTTTTATTCAAAAGTGTAAGCTTATAATTAGTTAGATCCTAAAAAATAATTATAAGTCTATATCAACTAAAAACACTGGGTTTAACAAATTTACCATTTTCAGTTCTCAACTTTATTAATTTTTATAACTACAATTAATTAATTAAATTTTATAACTGTTCTTAATTAGTTTAACTAAAATATCTCCAAATAAATACCTCCATTTAAATAAAATATTTCCAAATAGTGTTGTAAAACCAAACTCAACTAAAAAAAAAACTTTTCCTTTTTTATTCAAAAATCTTCAATCTTGACAAGTAAATGTGCTTAATATCATATTTAATATTTTGTACAAAATGTTCAAAATTTTTTTCCTAAAATAAAATTGGAAACAAATTTGTATATAGTGAACATAAAGCTGGTCAAATGACACATAACAAGATTTTTAAATACGCTCCAAAATTGTTATATATTTACATTTTGAGTTTTCCTATAAAGTCTTTTAATTAAATTACTTGATAAGTATAAGAACTAAGTTCTTCAAAGGTTTTCTTCATATAAGTAATATATAAAGTTAAATGGATCTGGTTTTATGTTGAGATAAAATAAAACCTTCGCCACTTTTCTACTAACATCCTTGTGACCTAAAAATATCAAGCCAAGATTAAGTTGATTCTTTCAAAAGAAAACAAAACGTATTATTAAATACTCTTCCGCGGCAAATCCTTTAGCTTTTTCGTATTGTATTTTCCTACACAAAAAAAAGACACTGACTATTTGTACAACCCTTTTAAATGCACAATACTCGTTTAAAAATCATGAAATCAATAAGTAACGTTTACTCTAAGTAAAAGTCTTACATTTACCTTTTTTACCTCAAAAAAAAAACTAACAATTTTAAGTATCTTTATTCATTAACACAATGTTAGATTTCCCACTCTAAATTTTATAATGCTTATTGATTAATTTTTTTTTGCTAATCACGGCCGTTCCAAAGAGATCTTAAAGGTGGGGAGGGGGAGAGATCTATCTGTCTTTTGCGGACTAAGATCTAAAAAAAAAAATTTTGTATTACCAACCATTATAAAGTGAGAACACTTATAGCGCCAACTGGTAACTGAGTTCTTATACATATTCAGTACCTCACAAAACATTTTATGGGAGGTTGTTAATGTGTTTTTTTAAAGCCTTGGTTTGGACGAAAGAAAAGTAGTGGGTTACAAGACAAATACCAACACATATATTTTATATACGGAAATATACTTCGTTATACATCATTAAATAGTACTTTAAATACGTTTTATGAAAAAAACGTTGTTTTCGTTTTTTATAAAACGTATGAAAGATTTTTTGTTTGTTTGTTTGTTTTTTATTTTATTTACAATAAGATTTATAATTTAATACAGGATTTCAAGAAAATTGTAAAGTATTATCGCAAAGCCCTTATCAATATAAAAGTCTATTGCCTTTTTCCGTTATCTATTCCGTTATTATATATATATATATATATATATATATATATATATATATATATATATATATATATATATATATGTGTGTATATATATATATATATATATATATATATATATATATATATATATATATATATATATATATATATATATATATATATATATATATATATATATATATATATATATATACTTTATAAAATATATACATACCTCAAATGCATAACTATTAAATATATCATCAATTAAATACTGTGCATACTTCAATACTTCAAAAGTAAAACTCATAATAAAACATCACAAATTAATATGTAGCATAAAATTTAAAAAAAAATCAAAAAAAATTTAGAATATTTGTTATTAAAAAAGGGCTTTTCCAGAAAATCACGCACGAAAGCTCGTATACGTTCTATTTTCATAATAATAAAACTAGCAATCTTCAATTTACTTTCTTCATTTAATTCTAATCTCTATATAAGTATTTCGCAACAAAGAAAGGTACACTTTAGTCATGTTATCAAAGAATAAATTGAGTTTGAAACAGAATCACGCACAGAAATAAAAAATGCAAATTATAGTAACTAGATTTGTAAAGTTTTAACAGTATACTTTTTTTTTAAATAGTATTTTATATATTAGTAAATATTTTCAAAAATTTACAGGAGTTTACTATGTATCTTAGAGTCACAACAATCTTTTAAATTCAGCTCATGAATTATCACGCATGGAATTCACGCACGGATGTCATGAATTTTTTCTGCTTATGTAGAGTAATTTAATCAAAACTTAGCATCCGCACTAAAATTGCTGCTGAAAGGCTGTTTATAGACATACACCGCTGCATTATGCATCATTAGATTGCTTAGTCTTTCAGCTACAAAACTATGCACTGTTCTAACTTTTATGAGTGCTTGACATTGACATTAAAAACTGTACACGGAGTCAAAAGTGTTGTTTTACGTAAGAGTCGTATTGTAAAACGAGTTCAATTTATTATAATTAATATATTATATACAAAAATGCAATAAACACAAGAAAGATATTGTAGATCACAGCTAGTAGTAGAACAGTTCTCGAGTCCTTTGATGTTTGATAGGTTACTCCAAGAGAGCGAGACTTCGATAAGCACGCTATTTATATACATATTCCCAAGGGGGACATTAATTGTTTAGTATAATCAGTCAATCCAAATAATTTACGTTTACGATAACTTGATTAGCGCAACAAAAAACACTGAACCTTGCCCACTTGCACTTAATCTTGCTCACTGGGCAATATTATATAAAAGTGTGCGAGATTAAATCTCGGTAGTTAATTTGTAGGCTCCAAACGCTCCACTTGGTATGTTTGAAGCATACAAATGGCAAACACCATGGATCTTTTTTTGTCTAGTCCTGAGATCAAACTTAATTCATTGTATTTATTGAAACTACTTTGAACCTACTCGAAAACTATTCGAAAACTCCAAAAACACGACATATTATAAGATAGTACATAAAAAATCATAATCTATAAAAGTATCGTTTATAAAGTAATATTTAGTAGTATATTTAAAGATTATAATCAGCTATAAGATAATACATACATCAACTATAAGATAATACGTACATTAACTATAGAAATAAATAGCAACTGATATAAAAAAAAGTTTTTAAAGATTGAGAACAAATCAGAATTTGTTTCATAAATAATACAAACAAAAACGTTTAGGAGCC